AAAGGCGATTTCTGAGCAATCAGATGAGACATCGGAATGAAAATTTCACCACTCGATTAGGAAAACCTCAGGTTAAATGTGATGCGAATTTTGTTCCATTCAAAACACTCGTGATATCAGAATAAATTTTTTAACTTTGAAATGTTTTTGCGCGGTTTTCCAATTTTTCAGCCTACATTTCAAAGGCGATTTCTGAGCAATCAGATGAGACATCGGAATGAAAATTCCACCACTCGATAAAAAAAACTTCAGGTTAAATGTGGTGTAAATTTTGTTCCATTCAAAACACTGGTGAAATTAGAATGAGTTTTTAACTTTGAAGTTTTTTTGTGCGGTTTTCCATTTTTTCAGCCTACATTTCAAAGGCGATTTCTGAGCAATCAGATGAGACATCGGAATGAAAATTTCACCACTCGACTAGGAAAACCTCAGGTTAAATGTGATGCGAATTTTGTTCCATTCAAAACACTCGTGATATCAGAATGAATTTTTTAACTTTGAAGTGTTTTTGCGCGGATTTCCAATTTTTCAGCCTACATTTCAAAGGCGATTTCTGAGCAATCAGATGAGACATCGGAATGGAAATTCCACCACTCGATAAAAAAACTTCAGGTTAAATGTGGTGTAAATTTTGTTCCATTCAAAACACTGATGAAATTAGAATGAGTTTTTAACTTTGAAGTGCTTTTGTGCGGTTTTCCATTTTTTTCAGCCCGCATTTCAAAGGCGTATTCTGAGCAATCAGATGAGACATCAGAATGAAAATTTCATCCGTCGATTAGGAAAACTTCAGGTTAAATGTGGTGTGAATTTTGTTCCATTCAAAACACTCGTGATATCAAAATGAATTTTTTAACTTTGAAGTGTTTTTGCGCGGTTTTCCATTTTTTCAGCCTACATTTCAAAGGCGATTTCTGAGCAATCAGATGAGACATTGGAATAAAAATTTCACCACTCGATTAGGAAAACCTCAGGTTAAATGTGATGCGAATTTTGTTCCATTCAAAACACTGGGGAAATTAGAATACATTTTTAACTTTGAAGTGTTCTTGCGCGGTTTTCCATTTTTTTCGTACAATCAGTTGAAACATCGGAGTCAAGGTTTGAGCAATTGATAAGAGAAGCTTGAGTTTAAATGTGGTGTAAATGTAGTTCCATTCAAAACACTGGTAAAATCAGAAAGAATTTTTAAACTTCGGAAGGATTTTGAGCGGTTTTCCATTTTTTTATCCTACACTTCCCAAACCAGTTTTGAGCAAAACCACCATTCTCTGTGAAATGAACAAATTTATAACTTCGAGCGAGAAATGGGTGAAAGCTAGAAAAATACCCAAAATCATCACCGACTTATTCCTGGATATTTACACGTTTTGATTATATCTTAGCAGTTGCTTTCTTTTTTTTAGGCTCATTTGGTCTGCACTAGTTTATCTCGCCACTCTAAAAAGGTTCTAAACAGGAATTGACTATTTACTGATTCATTCAAATTATAATGATACCATTATAAATTACCGATAAATCCCCATTGTTGTAACCTGCCCTATTTCATCCTCAGATAAGATTGGTAATTGGTATCTTGAAACCGACACAAAAGCACTCAAAACCGGTTTAAATCATGTAGAAACGCGCAAAAAGTTACTTAAAACCTTATCGTGCAGAAAATCGATGATGATGGTTTATGGATGTCCATAAATAAAAACACGATGACACTAAGCCGAGGAACCCACCTACTGAGAGTAAGATGCCAATTAAAAAAATTATTGTGCGTTTTCGATTACATCATACAAGTATCAAGAATAATTCTATAGTGCACTTGGCTTCCTTGTGCGATCGTTTCGATTTAAACTATGTATGAAAATCGGATGTCAGCAGACAAGTTCCGGTAATTACAAAAGGTATCGGTTTATTAAATGTATGTCGATCAAAATTGCGACTAAACAAACAACCTCCAGCCCGTTTCTATCTAATCTTACGTAGGCACAAATTGCTGTTTGAATATGCTAATAACTATCCAGTAAAATGCGTGACAGCAAAACTGCATCATGGGTGCATTGAGAGGCAATGGAACCTTGGCGAAAATTTGGAAATTGCAGATTGCGTCCTTCCTGGTAAGTGCATGATGCTTATTCAATTACTATCTAATATCAATTAGTTTTTTATCGGGGATTTTTTTGAACTCATTGAGTAGATTTCGACTACTTAATCTCAGTGCATAATAGCTGATAACGTGATTTTGAAACCAGTACTGAACCTCGGCGCCCACCGATCCATCAGTAACCGTAACAGTATAAAACGTGGTCAACGTTTCATTGGAAAAGGTACAAATAAGAATGGGAATTATATCAAATGGTTCGCTGAAGTTCCCTTGGAGACGCGTTTTAGATTTCAATGCAGTTGCAGCTCTGGTAAGTTTATTGCCATTGATTCTTCGGGGACTTTGTCTTCGGGTGAAAATCCCTTCTAAAATTGACTTTTTAAATTGATTTCTCACGTGCTTCAAAGCACCTCAGGTTTCCCTCCCATTGACTTTATATGGGAAAAACGTGTCTGTTTATTTTTAATAACTAATCGAAATTTCGAATTTTCTCGATATAAGCAAAAATCTTCGAAAAATGAGTGAAACAAAATATAATAATCATCCAGTTTTGATTTAAATTATACAGGGTGGTTTTTTAGTGCGATAGAGTCCATTATTTCCGTTGGTCGAAAAATAGTTTCACATTAAAGTTGTTAACGAACAAAGTGCGCACATTTTAAAAATATTTTATATGATACAGAGTGTCTCAGAAGTGCGAGGCAAGATCAAAGTGTATTTTAGCCACCTTACAAAATGTAGCAACTTTTTGAAATTTTTAAATAAAATAAATTATAATTTGAAAACGGTTGATTTCACAGCTTAAAGTGTAAATACAAATTTGTAAATCTGTAAATTGTCTATCTAATGACGTATTAATATACAGGTACTTCCATTTGAAAAACAAAAGCTGCATTGCGTTAAAAAGTTTTAGATTGAAATCCACATTGTTAACACCCTGTACAATGTATTAATTTTTTGTTTCAATAGAATTCTTAACGGATCTCTGGTGATTGGAAAGACGTCATTTTTTGTGTCTCTAACTGCTTTTTTTTGCTTCTACAATAAATTTTAAGATACCATATTTTTAAGCAAAATTTCACTAAAATGCCGATAATCTGCCAAAGTCGCAAGTAAGAAAAAAACAATTTACATGAGCTACATTCCATGAGCTAATGAAAACTGGGTAGTTCTATTTAAAAAAATACACTTTGATCTTGCCTCGCTTTTCTGAGACACTCTGTATCATATAAGATATTTTTAAAATGTGCGCACTATGTGCGTCAACTTTGATATGAAACTAAAAAACTCTATCGCACTAAAAAAAACACCCTGTATATTTTTCATGAGTTTTGAGCTGCTGAATCCAGTGGAGTGCCTATTTTTGGTCTACGTATTTATTATTTATTATTTAGGCTTTTTACGACCAATTTTTATCTTCAACTGTATTTGCCCAATTTAGAAGACATTTCTTGCAAAATCACAACCTATTTGCAATAATCTGACGCTTTTTTTATTGGTTTCTTCGTCACTCGATTTATCTTTTTGTTGATCTTTGCTTTAGTTAATTTTTGTAATCAATAATTGTAAAATTAAGAATAAGTCACTGCCTACTTGTGTTATTGTGTGTGTTTTTTGTGATTTCTTAAAGGCTTATTAATTGTTAAGCATAAACGTCGATTAGGCGGAAGATTTTTTTCTTTTAGTTCGTCAGTTCGTGTCAATATCGTTAATGTGTTTCGATTTCGTCTTGGAAATGCTGCAGTTTTTGGCATTTTTTCTTTTCGTAAGGGTTTCACAAACGTTTTTTGAATTGCAAAAAGGCGTTGATGATTTGATTTTTTCATATTCAACTGTTTTTCAACTTGCTCAAAACCACTACAGATTTCCATTCAACTCAATGGTTTTTTTCTGTTATACTTTGAAATAATAATTTTTAAATAAATAGGATCGTATTGTCCACCCTTGCCATTTTTTGTGCTACTTCTAACCGCTTTATTCATTTAAACGTCGATTTTCCAGAAGTATTTTCCTCGAACGTAAACCAACAGTTTGTTCCGTGCGCTTCTCATTAGATTTTCCTGAACAGGAAACGAAGTGATATTGATTCGATCAAAATTGCTATTTCGATCAATATTCTGTGTGGTTTATGAATTTTTATATGGGCTTTTACCCGCGCGTTGAACGGCTTTCGATCAGATTCCGACGAGAAGGTTGGCGTTTTTTTCTATCGCGAAAAACTTCTTTGATATCAGTCGGTGTGTTTCAGTATTTTTTATAGAATTTGTAAACTCATAAAACATTTTTCTTTATTGTCATTTTAAACGGTTTCCAAACTTCTGCTCTTTTCTTGTTCTCTGTTGGCAATTTTTCGATTATTTCAAGCACATTTTTTACGACTCCGAATGATTATGGTCGCTTCAGGCCAATTTATTGCCTTATTTTGCGAGGACTTTTGCTTACAACTATTTTTCTATTACACTTGAAGAAAAACTGATGGAACCATTCAAAAAATTGTTTAATAATTAAAATCCCAAATTTATCCGGTTTTTAGGTGCTTTGAGGCACATGATAAATCGACTTAATGCATAATCTTTAGTGCCTATAGACGAGATTTTCACCGAGGGACAAAGTCTCCGAAGGGAAAAAATTAAGGTCTAAGTTTTAAAACGAATTTCTTTGAAAGTGACTTACTTGGAAATAATAACAACTTTGACTTTCTTCACACCATCATTCAAAACACGCCGCATTTCCCATATGAACGATTGGAAGGAAAGTATGCTTTTTGCATAATCGACATTGTTATACATTTTCAAGTTTGCAGAGCGCCCTTTTAAAACTAACCACAAATAGGCCCGAATTAGTTATTTATTGTTTCTAAATAAATAAATAATTATTCTAAAAATGATGATAAAAACCAAATTCGTGTAAATCGAGTGCCAGGCAAATCGAAGCACTGGTGCACATTTTCCGTACTCTGCGTTGTAATCGCTTAAAATAATGACTAAAAATAATTTTGCATCACCCTGTAAGGCAATATGTTCGCCTCCCCATCTAAATATGGAAATTGCTCCTAAAAATAGCTTTGCAATATAGCACTACATAAAGGTGTCTTCAACCTCTCGGTGCAAACTAATTTGCATAAAGAAATACTTACTTAAATCAAACTTACCTGGTAGTACCTCAAATGAGGATATTTGATTATGACCCGCAGTATTAGAACAGTTAGCTGGTCTTGCAGCGCCACCCTTTGCTCATATGGAATGCCTAGAAAAAAGGCATCAGCTTTACTCTTAAATTGAGGTTTTTTTTTAATTTAAACTGTTAACTGAACGGGTAACGATAACGTACCTGGAGGAAATCTCTTAAGTGATCTATTTACATCTAAAACTACTTGCTGATATTCGGGATGAGCGGACAGTTCTTCTAAAGAGGGAATCTTCTCGTCCGTACTTGGGTCCACTCCCAGTAGCAACGGCCATACTGTGTACCGCAAATCATCTGAAAATTCGTAAAATTTCGCAAACCATTTATTCCAGTTTGACTAAAATGTACCTCCGACCAGCCCAAACTTGCTCTTTGCCAAGTCCTTCCAAGTGTTCAGTGTTGTGAGGTCATTTCCTATGGCCGCTTCAATCTGCTTTCGCTTTTCCCTTTCCGCATCGCTTTCTGCCTCTGAAACAAGTAACAATACAGATTTGTGAGTTTTAAAAGTATTTTGAGTCTTTTTGGGAACCATGCAGATGCCAAAAACGTGTTATGGGTGTTTGAGTTAAAAGCCCAACTTCACAAAATGCAAAAGTACAAACAAAAATTGAAAATTGTCCAGGCTGATAAATATTTAGTTTTGCTATTCCATACTTTTGTAACCCTGTGTCGCATAAATACAGGGTGAGTTTTCTTCGATGACCAGTACAGGGATCTTCTAAACTATAGCAGTTCGAAAAAGGAATAATTGTAGTTTTGAATGCTCTATTCTAATTTGGGTTTAACGTTTGGAGCGGAACGACAGGTTAAAAAATTCTTGGAGCATTTAATTTTGAAGGCACCTTAAATGGGAGTCGGTATAATAGTCGGGGTAATAATTTTTCCCAAGTGCGAAATCGCCTGGACGTAACATTTCCTGGGGCTTGGATTGGACGAAACGCCCCTTTTTTATGGCCACTGCGATCACCGGATCTTTCACCTTTGGATTTATTTTTGTGGGGAGCCGTAAAAAACACAGTTTGCATAAACAAATATTCAGGACAACCGGTGGACAGTCCTCTCTTCCCAGTGTAAAGGTAACGCGTACTGATTCACTTGCATTGGCTTTGATTTTCTATTTTCGTAGCCATGTTTGGATTTTATTTAAATGTAATTGCAAGTTATTCGATGCTTTTCTGGGACAATTATGTGAGGCTAGTACCGCTGTGATTTGTTTTACGATTCTATGAATTTGCTCTACAGTCCCATTGTTTCGAAAACCAAACTGATGGTGAGGTATAAGTTTCTCTCAAGTAGGATTGGCTCAAGTCGTTTGAGGAACAGCTTTTCAAATAGTTTTGATATTATTGGCAAAAGACTTGTCAGCTCGTTTGGGTTTTTGCCTGGTTTGAGTATCATGATGATTTCAGCTACTTTCCACTGGTGAGGGAAGTGGCCGTGTAAAAGGACAGCATTGAAGATTTGTACTATTGCAACTAAACCTTTTTTCGTCAATTTCTGCAGAATTTTTCTAGTGATGAGATCGAACCCAGGAGCTTTGGCAGGATTAATTTCTTTTAAAATTGCTGTTTTGACTTCGTTGTACGTGAATCTTTTTATTGGTCTATCTAACTGGTAGGGTGCACTAAGGACGCTTTCTAGTTCTTGTCTTTCTTCTTGGGTTGATACTAGATCATGAGGTTCAAAAACTCCAGAAAAATGCTGTGCAAACGCGAAAGCCTTCTCGTTACTGCTTCTGGCCCACTTTCCAGCAGCGTCCCTCAGGAGTGGGACTGGTTGTTGCGGTCTCTTCATGGCTCGCCATAAGGAGTATCCTGTTGCTTCAGTAGCGGACAACCCTTCCAGATATTCTTGAACCGACCTGTTTTTCAATGTTTGCAGCAAGTTTTTTGTCTTCCAGTCGCCTTGTTAAGGTTCCTTTTATCCACCTCCAACCTGGTTAGCCGCCATTTTTTTCTCAATCTTTTTTCAGCAATTTTTTCTTTGACAATAATCGGGCATTTTTTCTTTGATTTATCAGATTTCGGCTTCGGTATGGCTTCCCAAGCTGATGTTTCGATGGCAGTTGTAAGCCTTTTCACTGCTGCTTCGCTGTCTCCTGGAGTTTTAAGGGGAATCTTGAGCTCACTGTGTTGATCCAATATTTCTTGAAATGCGTCCCAGTTCGTCTTGGAGTTGTGAAGTGTCGGTAGTTTGGTTTTTTCAACTATATTGGAGAGCATCGTTAAGATTACGGGAGAGTGGTCTGAAGATAGGTCTATTCTTGTTTGCACTTTAAGGTAATTGTTGTTGATGCCTTTCAAGATAAAGAAATCTATCGCATCAGGAATTTTGGCTGGATCTGTTGGCCAATAGTTGTGGGCTCACCAGTTGCGAGATGGCTCAAGTTAGTATAAGTCATTGTGTGCAATAACTCTCTGCCTTTGGTGGTTATTAGCCCTGAGCCACACTTGGTTGAGCATTGTATTGTTTGATGTTGTGTTGATGTTGCAAATGGTTCTTTTCTCTCAATTTAGGATACAGTTTAGGTTTTGAGGTAAATCTCTTTTTGAATGTGATGGTTTAAATTTCACCATGGAATTCATGAAGAGTTTTGTGTCATAGATTTGTTGTTTTCCTTGGGTTTTAAATCGACAAGAAACAATGGTAGTGGTTTCTTTGTGCGATTCGGTTTGAGATTCCATACGCTCTCGACTTCGTGTCCCAAGAGTTCTATGTTAGCTTTAATTTCAGCAGGTTCAGTTGAGAAATGTAAGTTCTTCAACACAACTCTGAAGCATTTTTCCTGTTTTGGTTTGTATGTATGAAACTGAGTTTTCTTTGCAATCAGCGCATTTTTAATTTTGGTGTAAGCATCTTTTGTTTTTGGTTGTACTTTGACCTGATCTCCTCCAAGTGCTTTTACTACATACTGATCTTTTGTGATATCGTTTAGCAGTTTTATAAGTGGGTTAACATTGCTTACGTTGTTGAATTGCCATAGATTGTGTTTTTTGGATCGAAATTTGCATATTAAGCCTCTGTGCTGTTAGGTTGAATCTGCAGAGAAGCCGTTGAAGGTCATTTTAGCTCTCTGCCATCAAGACAGCATCGTCTGCGTAACAGAGTATTCTCAGACGGTGGTTGTTCATCTTGAATCCTGCATCGACTTGGTTCACACTTTCAATTATTTGGTCCATTATGATGTTAAAAAGGCATGGGCTATATCTCCCTGTCGTATGCCGGATGGAACTTTAAGCTCTCTTGTTAGACCAGATTCTGTTCTTATCATTATTTCATTGTTTATGTTAAGCTGCTTTATTAGGTTTATGTGGCAGTTATTAACATCTTTTTGGTTCAGTAAACTCACCCTGTAGATGCAAAATGCATGTGTAACGTGTAAATAAAAGACATTTATCAGCAGTGCGGAATCTGGAGAATTTGCCAAAATCCCAATGAAGAATTTCAAATGTTTTCAAGTGACTAGAAGCAGTCATCATAAAAAACAGATATCGGCAGGAATCAATTACTCAGCTTTGCCCCATTTTGTCCGACTGGGTTAACATATGTGGGTACATTTAGGAACTAATAACAGAGACTTCTATAGCACTCACCCCTTTCAAACTTGAGTTCAGAGCGAGTGTCGACTACATTATCCTCTAAGCTGGTCTCAGAACGATTGTCTGAGCAACTGTTGATTAAACGTGTCTGCTCGTCCAGACTGCTCACTTCCGAATCCAAATTCTCCATTTCGGAACTAACACGCAAACACTACCGAAACAGGCATTTAAATCGACAAATCAACACAAAACAGCAAAAAACAAACAGTTCTTATGACAATGAAAGATAACCTTAAAAACTATCAGCTGTTCGCTTTCATCTGACACCTTATCAACTAGCAGGCAAGTGTTCATTGGCGTGCGGTTAAGATTTATTTTTGTAATCTACGTAATCGTTAATGTTCCTGAGGTGTTCTGCGCCGGTACAGTAGTGAAACTCATAATTAATATTCGATTGAACTTTAATTTAATCAAAATTTATTCCTGGGTTTCAGTCATTTATTGTCTCTATTTATCAATTTTAAACCTAGGATTGACAAGTTAGACACGCCTAATGTAATTTACAAAATAGACTGTTTGAATTGTGATAACACATACATAGGTCAAACAGGACA